AATCTTGGGTAATTTAATTTTGATGTGTCTTTTGTTGTGTTCCTCCTTGGATCCAGTTTCTTTGGTACTCTCTGAGCTTCCTGGATCTCCTGGAAGTCTTATTTCCTTTGCCAGATTAAGGAAGTTTTCCTTCATTATTTTTTCAAATAAGTTTTCAATTTCTTGCTCTTCCTCTTCTGCTTCTGGCACCCCTATGATTTGGATGTTGGAACATTTAAAGTTGTCCCAGAGGTTCTTAAGCCTCTCATTGTTTTTTTTTTTGAATTCTTGTTCCTTCATTCTGTCCCAGTTGAATGTTTATTTCTTTCTTCTGTTCCAAATCTTTGATTTGAGTCCCAGTTTCCTTCCCTTTACTGTTGGTTCCCTGTGTATTTTTCTTTATTTCACTTTGCGTATGCTTCACTTCTTCTTCTACTTTGAGTCCATACTCAATCATTTCTGTGAACATTCTGATTACCAGTGTTTTGAACTCTGCATCTGATAGGTTGGCTATCTCCTTGTTGCTTAGTTCTTTTTCTGGAATTTTGATCTGTTCTTTCATTTGGGCCATATTTCTTTGTATCGGTGTACCTGTTACTTTGCGGAGCCTTAGGTATTCACAAGGGCGGGCAGCCCACTTGCTGCGTTGTGGTGCTGTGTGGGGAAAGGGTCAGAGAGGGAACAATGCCATTTGCTCGGTTCCAGCCTGGCTTTCAGTTGCTTCCTCCACTACCCACAAGTGAATTGGGCCCTTCTGGTGCTGGTTCCTGGGTGGGTAGGTTTGTGTACATTCTAGGACCCCGTGGATCTGTCCAACAGACTCTCCTGTGAGGCTGGGAGTTTCTCCCACCACTGCAACTCCCACAGTATTTACAGCCAGAGGTTTTGAGACTTTGTTTCCCTGTGCTGGAACCCTGGGTTGCACCATCTGTCACACCCCCCAGTGTTCCTCCCTGTTTATCCACATGCAAATGTGGGACTGCCCAGTCTGCTAGCCTCTGCCTTGCCCTGCATCCTGTCCATCCCAGCTCCCTGTCTCTGCCCCACCTACCAGTCTGGATGAACATTTCTTCTTTAACTCCTTGGTTGTCGGAGTTCCATACAATTCAGTTTTCTGGCAGTTCTGGTTGTTTTTTGTATTTAAATTGGTTGCTGTCCTCCTTTTGGTTGTGCAAGGAAGCAAAGCCTATCTACCTAGGCCTCCATCTTGGCCAAAAGTCCTAATAACATTCTTTTTTTCAGTAATTCCATAGTACTTGTCTTTGTCTTTGGCACTCAGAACATAAGTATGCTATATATTAAAAGGTAAATGTGCTAAAATTACTTATTTGTATTGATCAAAACATGAATAAAATGAAAAGAAAAGCCCATAGAGTGGGTGAAAATATTTCCAATATATTTATAATAGAGTTCTTATATTCAGAATATATAAAGAATTTGAAAACAAACAAACAAACAGCAGGCAAAAGATATCCCAATAAAAAAATATTCAAAACACTTGAACAGGTACTTCACTTCACAAGAACAGAGATCCAAATGGCCAGAATTGTACTCAATTTGATTAGTAATCAGGCAAATAAAGAATAAAACAATGCAAGAGTTGCTAAAATTTGAAAGACTCACAACACCAAGTGTTGTTGAAGAAGAGAAACAACTGGAACACTGCAGGTAAAAGTTCAGTAAAAGGACTTTGGAAATGAATTTGGCAGTATCTGCTGAAGTTGAATGTATATATCTTATATTGTGTATATTCCACAAAAAATGTGGGCCCTGTGCATGCCCAAGTGTTCAAGAACAGAAGCAAGATGTAAAAAAATATATAGTTTCACTTATATAAATTTAAAACATAAGCAAAAATCTGAACTATAATATTAAACACAAGGAGGATCCCTGAAAAAACTGGAATTATCTTCTCCAGGGTGGGCCCTTTGTAGTACAGGCTTCCCCTGAAAGGTTAGTATTCTAGAAACCCATCTGTATCATTGTACCAGCTGGCATTGTTGTGAGAGGCTGCATTCACCATCAGTGAATTTTTTTGAAGACTCTTTCAACACCTTTTGCCATTTTTTGATGGGTAATTTACAAGCACATCTGCCCACACCACACTGAGTGTTCAGCAGTTTCTGACCAAAAACAGGATGATCCCCATGCCCCATCTTCCCTATTCACCCTCTTACCCTGAGTGACTTTTTTTGTGGTTGCCCTGGTGAAAAAAGTCCTCAAAGGAAAACATTTTGCTGATGTGGAACAGCTGAAACGAAAAACAGCAGAAGCACTAAAAGGCATCAAAATCCAAGAGTTCAAAAACTGTTTTGAGCAATGGGGGAAAAAAAATCTTTATAGGTGTATTGCACCAAATGGAAAGTACTTTGAAAGTGACTGAAGTTTAAACATATAAGAATAAATACGTAACTTTTTATAAATAAATTCCAGTGCATGCCCTCCTCCCTTTCCTCGGATATTAGGTGCAGACAGAGTAGATAGTGACTGGATGATGGGTGTTTTCTTTATGGTAATTTTTTGACCTATGCATTCATGTTTTAAGTATATCTCTCTTTGTATGTTTTATTTCACAATTTAAAATGTTTAGAAAAGAGAGTCTGCCCTGGATACATATCACTTGAGTTCATATCTTAGCTTTGTTGCTTTCCAGCTGTGTAAATTTCGAAAATTTATTTAACAGCTCTAAGCCTGAAGTTCATATCTATAATGTAACGATATCAACATATTTTGTAAGAATTGTTGTAAAGATTAGATAAATATTGGAATTTTTGCTAAGATATTAAGCACTTAAAACTACAGCTGGCTCATAGTAAGTCCTGACTCATTGCTAACTCTTACTATTGTTATTGCTGTTAATGTCATTGCCAGTTTATTTGAGCAAAGGAATTTTAAGCTTCTCTTGCAAATTACATTATATTTTATAAACCCATCATGGCTTTCCATGTAGGTGAGTTTTTGTTAGGGTCTCTCAGAAAAATTTATTTTATTCACCATCCATGTTATTTCGTAAATTAATCATTTTATAGGTGTATGTAGAATTTTCTTTGTATTTGTAATTGTACGTGTAGCATATATGTTACCTATAATAGCTCATAGTAGCTAATATTTGGTAGGACTGACTGCTGCCAGGCTTAGTTCTAAGTGCTACATGGATTAATTTTTAATCCCGTGTAAAACCTTCATTTTCCATAGGTAGGAACTGAGGGCAGTAGCTAGCTCATGGTCTGGGGTTCAGTTTGGCCCCAGAGTCCACATCTGCCCCATTACTCTATGCCAGGAAAGTGCTCATTTTTTTTCTTTTTATTTAGTTACTGGTTACTTTTCCTTAATCTAATTTTTAGTTAATTTACCTAGATTTCCAAAAAGCCAGTTACATCATTTGAAAGTAATTATTTTTTTGTATACTACTCAGTAATTCTTGTTCTTGCTTTGATTTTAACTTTCAGAGAATTGTTTATAAAAATAATAGAGTGGACATTCTTCTTTTAATCTAAATGGAAATGCCTCTATTTTTTAAACCACTAAGAAACATTGACTCTTGATTGGAGTGTTTTCTTTATGTTAAGGATGTGCTTTTAATTATTGAGTTTGCCAAATGGATTTTGATATATTTATCCTGTTTTGTTTTCAAAATTAAAAAAAGCCACACATCCTTACCATAAATTAGGGATGGCTTTTGAGCTGTGTCAAATGGTTTTGTGTATCTTTGCAGATGGTCACATGGCTTTTCTGTGTTGAACTATTAATGTAATGAATTGTATTAATATATAACCTAATATTGAATCATCTTTGCATTCCTAGAATTTCTAACATGTTGAATTTTATTTGCTAAAATTTCTATAAGAGTTTTTCATATTTAAGAACTGCACTGGTCTGCAGTTCTCTGCTGTTTTTGTTAGATTTTGACATTGGGTAAATTCTAACTATGTAAAGGGAATCTGGGTGGTTTCTGTTTTGTCACGCATGTATACGAGTATACTGCATTTTAAAAATAATTTTTGAGCATATTTTCTGGTATGATTGCTTACTACTATTTGTTAAACATCTTTTTTTTCATTAACAATTTCAAATGTTTTTTATTTCTACTAATTATGAAAATCTTCAAACAAACAAAAATAGAGAGATTGGTATCACTTTGTTCCCCTCTTACCTTACTTTGTTTTTCTCTAGAGTATTTGACCCTTACTACTTAAAATATGGTTTGAGGTTTAGCAGCATAGGTATTACCTGGGGCTTTGCTATGGAGGAATGGATGTAATCATGTACACATAACCACGCGCATCACATCGCCTTTCCATATTCTATTGGTTATAGGCAAATCACAGGTTCTGGCTACACCATTGCTCTAAATTTTAAACTGTCTTTAATAATGTTGTTCTGAGATGTTTAAATAAGTCTTTGAACTTTTAATTTGTCTTGAGTTCTGGAAAGGAGCTACAAAATCAATGGGTATAAACTTTTAAAAGACTTTGATGACTATCATCCTATTACTTTTCAGAAAACCAGCACCTCTTCGGGTTATGTGGTGAGCATATGGCAACATTGACAGTTCATATATGTGCCTATTCTGCCAACAGGAGATCATTAAATAATGAGAATGCAGGAAAGAAGAAGAAAATAATTATAAATCCTTATCATAAATAATTTGAGTGATTGGTAACTGAAAGCCTGAAAGTTATTTGAATTAATTTTTGACAAACTATTTGGTCAACTTACCATTTTCTAATAAATCTTGTTCAGTGTATATTTGTCAAGAAACTTTTGGGTGCCTAATAGTGTTAGTTATTGTGAGTGAAAGAAAAGAAATATGCCAGTTTCTTTGCCTTTTAAGGCTTATGGGAATCTCATTACTTTGTTTATAGCTCTTCCATCTTTCTACAAAATATAACTTCAATTTGTAGAGGTTCATGCTGCATTTCACATTACCTGGGTTCTCTATGCGTTGAAGAAATGTGAAAATCTTCCTAGGTGTAATTTCCCCCAAGATAAAAACCACATTGACTTTTCCTTTGTTTTAGCAACAGCGAACTGTCTATAGACTGACTCTCGTTAAAGCCTGGAACGTGGATGAGCTCCAAGCCTATGCCGAGCTGGTGTCTCTAGGGAGCCCTGACTTCATCGAAGTGAAGGTAAGCCCCTGCTGGCCACCGCTGTGAGCATTTCCAGTGATGCTTTGTTGACCATCCTAGAGTTAAAAAATCTTTAAACTTCTACAGGAGGTCCCAGATGTTTTATTTATTCATTCAGAAATATTAGTCAAGAACCTGGCACTCTTCTAGTCATTGGGAATAGTAGCAAATAGTAGCAGTAGAAAACTAAGCCTTTGGTCTTATAAAGCTAATACGTTAGTGAGAGATAGATAATCAACACAAACTCAATAATTAAAAACTACATGCAGTTGACCCTTGAACAGTGCAGAGTTAGGAGTACATTTGGAATTTTGTGTGTAGCATTTGATTCCCCAAAAGCTTAACTACTAATAGCCTACTATGACCAGGGCCTTACCAATAACTAATCAGTTGATTAACATATATTTTGTATGTTATATATATCATATCCTGTACTTGTACAGTAAAGGAAGTTAGAGGAAAGAAAATTTAATTAATAAAATCATAAGGAACAGAAAATCATTTATAGTATTGAAAATAATTTGCTTATAAGTGGACTTGTGCAGTTCAAACTTGTATTGTTCAAAGCTTAACTGTGATAACCTTAATTCTGAAAAGTAAAATTGTTATAGTGAGTAATTGGTTGGCTTTTAAATAAATTTTTATTATGGAAATTTTTATGGAAACTTCATATATATAAGAAGTGGAGACACTGGTCTAATGAACCACATTCATCCATCACCCAGCTTCAAAAATTATCAGCTCATGTTTCAGCTATATCTCTACCCATTGTCTTGCTTTTACTGTATTATTTTGAAGTGAACTCCTACATCATATCATTGGTCCATAACTTTTTAAATACATAACTATAAAACATATACACCCGTTTTTTAAACACTTATTCAAAATACTGTTCTCATAACTGAACAACTTTAACAATACTTTTTTTTAAAAGACTTTATTTATTTCTTTTTGGAGAGGGGAAGGGAGGGAGAGCAGGGGAGAGAAACATCAATGTGTGGTTGCCTCTTGCATACCCTCTACTGGGGACCTGGCCTACAACCCAGGCATGTGCCCTGACGGGAATCGAACCAGTGACTCTTTGGTTTGCAGGCCGGCACTCAATCCACTGAGCCTCACCAGGCAGGGGCTTAATAATTTTTAAGTATTGGGATATATAAGGTTTCAAACTGGACCAACTATTTCAACAGTATTTTTGAATCTGGATCTAAATAAGGGCCATTCATTGTAATTGAATTATTTTTCTCTTAAATTTCTTTTAATCTAATTCCTCTTCTATGTCCCCCTCCTCCCCCTTGTAATTTATTGTGTTGAAGAATGAATATGAGGAACCCTGGCTAGTTCCTTATATTTATATTTTAGATTCTGCTGATTGTATTTTGCTCTGCTTTCTGTATTCCCTACGGATTGGAAGTTAAATCAAGAGAAGATTAATCAGACTTGTATGTATGTATGTATGTGTGTGTGTGTGTGTGTGTGTGTGTGTGTGTGTGTGTGTGTGTTTGCATGTCTGGTTGTTCGTATCATTGTTTCTTTGGGATGGATTCTTATAAGTTAGTTGATGTATCAAAGGGTAAATGAATATATTATTTTGCTAGATATTATGGTTGGCCTTTCTAGATTTCATAAGCTAGAAGGTTTTTCTGAGAAGATGATACTTAAATCCTAAGAAGACAATAGACAAAGACTTGGGGCCAGAGCATTCTGGCAGATGATACAGATAGTATACAGAGGTCCTCCATGATTTCTGGGGGACGCCTAGAGTTGGCAGGGAGAGAAGATGAATCAGAGAGGTGGGCTGGTGCCAGATTTTGTTAGGCATTTGAAGGAAGGATAAGAGAGTTGGATTTTATACTAACTTTCATGGTAAGCTTTTCTCTATACTACATGTACTTCTAAAGATTTTAAGCTAGAGAGTGATATGATCTGATTTATGTTTTAAAACATTACCTTGCTGTGGTCATGAATAGTTTATAAAGGGAAATGGTAGAAGTAGGCAGACCAGTTACAAAGCCATTGCTTAATCTAAGCAAAAGATGTGATGGTGTGGAGAAGGCCATTGGTAATACAGTTGGAGAAGAGTGCTGCATTTGGGGTGAATTTTGGAAATAGAACCAACAGAACTTATTGCTAGATGATACATAGAGAGTGACAGAACAAAAGGAATCAAGAGTGACACTGGGTTCTTAGCTCAAACAGTTGCTGGATGTGGAACAGTTTACTGAGATGGAAAGATTAGTGCAGGAGGGGAGTAAATCTGGGAAGTAATTTTATGCATTCCATGTTGACCTTATTAAATTTCAGGTATATTTAAAATATGGAAGTATAGGTTCAAATAGGCCATAGGTTACGTAAGTCTGGAGGTCAGTGATAAGACAAGGCTGCTAATAATGATTTGGAAGTCATCAGCATGAGATGTTAATTAAAGCTATGAAGTGTTAAGAGGCAAATGGTTTTCTCGGGACAACTAAGAATCCACAACATGAGAGTAAGTGACCAGAAAATTCACCCAATCTCTGAAAGCTCCACTTTTCCATTAATATTTATGAAGTTGAATGTACTCTATACTGAATAAGAGGATATTTCAGAGTTTTAAAGTTCTCTTTTAGTAAGTTCAGCTTTCTATCTTAATGTACTCTGGAGGGTTGGGAAGTGGGAAAAGGTGGAAGAAATACTGCTGTCTGAGTGTGTGGCATTTTATCTCTAGTCAGGTCAAAAACACTCTTTTCTTTGAAATTGCTCTTAACTTTAATGAACCAAAGATACAAACTGCATCTCAAATATATGATGGCTTAAGTGAACCTTTCCAACCTCAGTGATTAATGGTGCTTTAATTTATGATTTAGCTATTAAAGAATGCTGCCTCAAATTATGTTGCAGTAAAACCTCTGTTATAAAGCAACTTGGCTGGATCACATGGTCACCTATTTTCATTTTCCTTCTTGTATTTTCTTTCATATATTTTATAATGAATGAGATATTTTATAATCTGAAAAGAATTGACCAATTTATTTTTTAAAAAAAGATGACTACTGTGTAAACAGTGTACTTAAAAAAAAAAAAAAAGAAAGATTTTATCCCTGGCTGGTGTGGCTCAGTTTGAGCACCAGCCTGTGAATGAGAGGTTGCTGGTTCCATTCCTGGTCAGGACGTATTCCTAGATTGCGGGCCAGGTTCCCGGCTGGGGGCATGTGAGAGGCAGCCAATTGATGTTTCTCTTGCACATCTATGTTTCTCTCCCTGTCTTTCTCTCTCCCTTTCCCTCTCTATAAAAATAAATAAAATCTTTTTAAAAAAGATTTTACAGTCATACCTCAGTACTCATCGGCTTCAGAACTCGTCAAACCTTGTACTTGTTACATTTTGATGAGAAAAAAATGCTTCAGCACTCTGCGCTTGCTCAGGACTTGTAGCTCTTGCTAGAACTTGTATGAGTCACGACATGCCCTCCAAGAGAAAATGCCTCATTGTTTGGTACTCATTGGTTTCAGCACTCATCATGAGTTCCTGGCAAAATTAATGACAAGTACTGAGGTACCACTGTATTTATTTATTTTAGAGAAACAGGAAGGGATGGAGAAAAAGAGGGAGAGAAACATTAATGTGAGAGAGAAGCATCGATTGATTAACTCTTGCATGCACTCTGACTGGGGACCAAACCTGCAAGGCAGGCATGTGCCCTGATTCACAGTCAAACTGGGGACCTTTCACTTTGCTGGATGATGACCAACCAACTGAGACACGTTAGTCAGGGCAAGTGTATTTCTTTGATGATTATTTTTCAGTTGGGTAAACTATGAACATAACTAGGAAATAGATGAAACCTTCTGTCTGTACCTGAGATGTTAAAATGACATAGTTTCTTTCAAACAGTATTTCCATTTGACTGTTTTATCCCTGCATTCAACAAATATTCTGAGCTCTCTCCATGTGCCAGGCCTTGTCAAAGCAAGCAGATACAAAATTTGATATAGATATACCATTTGGCAAATGGAACAAGGCAAAGTCTACAAAAGTAATAGAGCTACATTGAGAGATTTTATTTTAAAATTCTTGGAGAAATGTATAATCTTATAATTTTAAAATGTCTTATTTAAACGATAAAATATATAATAGATAACAGTTTGCATAGGGGAAAAGCATGGTGATGAGCAACTTGTCTCTTGTAGAGGATGTACAGTAACACATCCGAAGTGCGTGGGCCACTGGGGATTGGATCATGCTCTGTAACATTCAGCTCTCATCTGTCTCACAGGTTAATGAATATCTTCCTTTTAAATGAAGTAGGAAAAGGGATGTTCACAGAATATAGTGTGCTATTAAGAAACAGATGAAGTTATCAAATAATATTTATTTGATTACATTTTGACTGCATATGTTTGTATATATTTACATAGGAGAAGTATGGAAGGACATATACCAGATTGTTAATAGTGTTGTATTTGATAGAAGGGAAAGGAAAGCCTTAATTTTTATACCTCTGTGTTGTATTATTTTAGTGAGCATATAGTGCTTTTGTAATTCAGATGATTGAAACGAAATCAGTAGATGGAGAATGCTTTTCTGTTCAATAGGGTTAAACTATTTAATGTCTGAAAAGTCAAGCTTTTGTGTTTTTTTTATTAAAGTTAAAAATTTCTAAAATGGAGGAGTTTTAAACCCTCTCCAAAAACATTTGTTGAGAGCTAGCAATATAGCATGCTAAGATAACCTTAAATTCCTCCAAAACCAAACACATAGGAGTAAATGTGCTATGATAAACATACTTCTGAGAACAAAGCCAATCTGTCGGGTCTGTAAGGGGATTCCTTAAGGGTGAGAAGAAGAGAGACCACCCTGGTGGTACTGTATAGCTCTTGACAGACACAAGACTGAGGTTTAAAGGGCAGAAGACTAGTCCCTTCTAACTTCAGTGAAATGCTCAATTAGGACCAGATTTACCCACTGACACAGAAGGGCATTTGGAGACTTATCCCTTACCTATGCTGTTGCTGAAAAGAAAGTCTTCCAGGATTATCCCTCAAAAGGGGTTGGCATTAAAATTTAATGTACTTTAAGATCACATAAAGGCTCTGAAGATGTGAAATTGATAGTATTAATGGACCCTAGGCTAGTTATATGCCTGGGGCTCTCTGCAGACACAAACACAATACTGTTCATGTCCTTTGTCTCTGTTTCCTGGTTGCATGTGTATGTGGGGGCCGAAGTCTCTCACAGTCTGCACACACTGGTTTCTCAAGTGGGAAAAAGGGAAGGACACAGCTTTGATACCTTATTGAAAGGTACTGAGGGAGCTGGGGGGACTAACTAATATTTTCCTTGAGCCTAAACTTCCTCAAAATGAAAATTAGAATAATAACAACAATTTAATAGCTTTGTTTTGATAATTCAGTGGGGTAATGGGTATGTCTGGATTCTGTAAATGTTTAACTCACTTTCTATTAAACATATTTATTTAAACTAAATCAATAGAAGCTATTTATTTATTATATTGACTTTCTCTTTTCTTTCATTGCTAATCTTATAAAATATTTTTTCTGTTATATTCCCTGTAAATTAACATATATTTTAGCTTCATTAGGCTTAAATAGGCCTTTATTTGCTAACCTGAGAATCTGAACTTTATTGTTACTGGCTTGCTTTTTTGTGAAATGTGTTTCATGTCACAAACATCTGTCTCGTTGAAAAACTTTCATAATACAATCTACTTATAAATAAAAGACTACCTTTGTATTCTCTGCTAGTGTTGCCACCTTGAGAATAGTAGGTGTTCAGTAATTATTTGTTGTCAAATGATTTAAAACTCTCTTACCCTTAGAACGCTGCAACTCTCTGCAGAGCTCAATCCTTGCAGGCTGCATCTTGTAAAACAAATTTTCTTTTAGCATAGTCTCACGTTTTCTGCACATGAAGATAAGGTATAGTTGTTTCTGTGTATAGCAATACCTAACTACTGTTTATCAGTTGGTTCATGATCGTTAAAGATTAGAAAAATTCTGAGTAATATGAATGAAATTTTATATTAGATCAGAGAAGAGTTCTGGAGTTTATATTATAGAAGAATTTGTTACTTGATCTTTAGGTCATTCAGCATAGATTGGTTGGGGGTACAGAGAGGAATAGACTCAGAAATTAGACTTACTATTCCAGTATTCTGGTAAAGGCTATGCACAAGGTATGATGATATTGAGGTCAGATGAGGTAGGGGTTCCTGACTGGAGATTAAAGAAATGATGGGGAACTTAGTCAGGTAAAGACTGGATGCTGAGTGGGGCAGTCCAGTAAGGAGGCCCTGAAGCCATACTGAGAAGCTCAGGCTGTTGTTTTTTGTGGGGAGCTATTGAAGCATTTTCAGGATATATGAATGACATGTTTGGAGTATATTGCTGCAAAATATCATAAAGACATTTCTTTTTTCATCAAACTATAGTGTGGAAGAAAAGGGGAAGCATACTAAACGTGAGGAGGTCAGGGGGAGGCCTATGTGTTGGCTTTATAAACTCAGATCTAAAGCAACCACAGGATGGTTTGAAATTAAAAGCTTTCTAACTAAAAGCAGATCATGGCAGGTAGGCAAGTCCTAGGCTGGTATTTTTCCCTAACAAAGGTCAGTCTTTAGCTTAACTGAGCATGTCTGTTGTCTTTTTGCATCTATGATAACACAGTTTTGTACCCACCTGTGTAAAAGTTAGTCTCTATCATTTTACTTTTTATCCATTCCCAAAGGTTTCCCCTTTGCTTTTTCCCACCTCCCTAACCTACCACCAGTGGATTTCATTTAACCCCCTTGTGCCTTCTCTTTTGATTGTAATGTATAAAATAAGGTGCTAAACTGACATTCTCCAGAGCATTTTCTCACCTTGTTGAGGTTTTGTTTCCTGGTAATTTTCAAGTGTCCTCATTTTGGCTCAAATAAACTCACGAAAATTCTCTACAGGTTTGAGTGTTTGTTATGTTGATAATAGGGAACAAAAACAGTTTCAGGAGTCTTTAGACACTCAGTCCGTTTAATTAGAATAGCAAGCTGCCAAATTACTGCTCACCCACAGACCTTGAATCCCCAGGTATAAACTTTCCAAGCAACTGGTTAAAAAGACCTTATGGCCCTATCTCTAGAGCAGAGAGAGATCCATCAGAAAGGCACCAATGTAATGGTGTGGGTTACGCTTTTCACTACAAACCTGAAGACGAATAAGTGGTCCAGGGATCTTTAGGAGTTTTCTCTGGGTCTGCTTGTTACTCCTCAACCTGGTAGATTCTGGAGTGAATGACAGCTTTTCAGTTGCTACGTTGTACCCATCTGTTTTCTTGAGGTGGTTCTTTTTTTAGAGTTATGAGGGAAGAACTTGATGCCAGTGATAAGTGGGGAGGGTATGGGGTGCTGGTGGCATGAGGAGGTGGTAGACAGCCATGACATGAGGGAAAATGAAGTGTTTTTAGACAGTTCAGGGTTAAGTGTAACCAGGAATAAAGTCAGGACATGTCATTGGTGGACTCGATTATTGGAAGAAGCAAAGGAGCCAAAGCAAAGCAGAGGGCACCATAGAGTGACGGCTCAGGGGTTCCCGGAAGTGACTCCATAAACTAATTCACTGAAGTTGGTTTCTGCCCATAGCATTTCTGTCATGGTGAAGGCTCAGGCTCTGTGGACAGTTCAGCAGGTTACCCTGTACTGTCTATGTTGGAGGATTTTATTTGGCTAAAATGAGAACTTTTATGTGAAAGCGCTTTGTTAATTGCTATAAAGCATCACGTGTTCCCTGGCTGTCGTGGCTCAGTTGCCTGGGTGCTCTCCCTCAAACTGAATGGTCGGCGGTTCAGTTCTTAGGGCACATGCTTGGGTTGTGAGGTTTGATCTCTGGTTGGAGTGTGTGTAAGAGGCAGTCGATTGATGTTTATCACATCAATATTTCTCTCCCTTTTTTCTCCCTCCTTTCCCCCTCTCTAGAATCAATAAAAGAAAAAGAATGTTGAAAAAATTAAAATACAATTTTTTAAAAAAGCAGCATGTGAATGTATGGAAAAGTATAATGAACTGTGGCATTCACTCTTTAATTTGTTTTTCCAAGTCAAACCTCCCCTTAATGTTTCATGATTTATTGTTGCTGAATAAGAAATATTAAAATACTTTCCAAACCCATTGTCATGAATGTAAGATCTTATCTAAAACCTCTGCTTCAATGATCTAACTTTTTAAATATTAAAAATAAGTTCCTTTGAATTAACTACTTTTTACATGGCTGTTCATATAATTCATACATCATACACAGTATTTAAATTGAAGTAGAGTTAATTATTATGACCAATTTGATCTATCAATAAATCATGTTTTTTTATACATTCGAGTATGTTTTGCACAATTTTTCAGCCACGCTTAAAGATTTTTTTTTAACTGTTATTTGCTTTTTTAATTCATTGAAAACTCAGACTCTCGGTTCAATGAATTCAATAAATTATTGGACTAATAGAGAAGATCCTCCTGTTTATTATAACTAAGCTGGATCACTTAAGGTTTATGTTCAGCAAAGGTCATCTCAGTTTGGCGTACCAGCGATCTTTTCGAGTAGCCATCTGGAGTAGAGTGCTTTGCAGAGCTCATCTGAGTTTTTGGCCAAGTCCCAGCTCTTCCATTTGTAGGGTCAGGGTCACTCTGCAGTGTTCATTTGTGGATTTTTCATTTAATGTCATTCTTTCCCCTTTAGTATGTTGTGTGTCTGTGTCTATGTGTGAAAGAGAGAATGAATGAGACAGAAAGAGAATGTATGTGAGTAGTATACATTTTTTATTTCAGTATTCCCTACTTAATAGTAGCATATCTAGAATATTCTAAGCATTTGTCAAGAAAGTTTGATTCTGGGATATTTGAAGAGCCTACAAAGTTAAAATATCCATTATTAATAGAAAATTAATTATCATTATATAATCTACTAAGTGGAGAACTTAGTTATAAAACTTGGGTTTTATGTGCCTGGGCTGTCACGTGGAGTTCAAAGCAGAACCAAAGTTATGTCACTGAATAGGAATTTCTGTAGAGGTGAGATGCATGTATGTACATGTAGGTGTGCCTAAATGTCGGTGTATCCACAGAAGTATCTCCTATTTGGCATGATTCTCTGTTTATGTATACATAGATCCATTTACAAAATACATTACAAATTGATATCCTTAAAGAATAAAGAATAATAATGAGAGCCCTATCCAGCCTTTCACGGAAAGTTTACCAACCTCAAATCTAAACTATACCAGAAAATGGAAACTCAATTTTATTTTTCCAGGGAATAAATTTTGTTCAGTGAATTTTTATGGGTGTCTACCATGCCTGATTATTATACTAGGGGACTATAATGCCCTGAGGATTAACCTGTTACAGCGCCCAGACGAATCTGAATAGAAAGATATGTTATTGGTTCAACTATGCTATTGTGACTAGACAGCATGGATTGTGACGTGACACAAGCACAGGTACCCGCGCACCAGCATTGTCACAGAGTGAGAAGAACATCGGCCTGGGAGCCCCAGTGCTGTCTTTGTCACTTACTTGTATTAGCTCCCAAGAAAATTTTTATCATCTTTTTGTCACTTTCTTCACTTTAAAATACAGATGGGATTGGATTGGATGACCTCCAAAAGGCTTTTTGGCTCAGAAACTTTCTCTATGACAGGTAATTGTCTCTAACTATTGTATTGTTTCCACAGGGTGTTACTTACTGTGGAGAGAGTTCAGCGAGCAATCTCACCATGGCCAACGTGCCCTGGCATGAGGAAGTGGTACGCTTTGTCCGTGAATTGGTGGCTCTGATCCCTGACTATGAAATTGCTTGTGAACATGAACATTCCAATTGCCTCCTGATTGCTCACAAAAAGGTAAGATAATTTGAATATCCATTCTTCTGCCACCTTTGTCCTTACTTCTCCCTTCTTCTCTTTCCTCTTTATTTTCCCTTCACCTTGTAATAGTGAATATCTGCTTGTTGGCTACTTTTGCTAAAACAAACATTTAAAAAAACCCTATATTCTGTCTGTTGGGCTCATAAACTCTTTTTTTGTGTGCAGTTACTTTGTATCTAGTCCATGTAGGCACTTGAAGTGCTTTCTGGATTTTAATTGGTGCATGCTAAAAATCAAAAGCAAAACATCCTTATAATAACCACTAACCCTTTCCTGGAATGACAAAGGAAAACTAAAAAGTTAAAAACTTCCATATGAGTTTTTCTGACTGTCAGGAGAAATGTTGAGGTATTTATCTTTAAATCACTTGGAATCTCGGCCTCTGGAGAAAGTCTTCTGAGATTTTGGTTCATGGCTCTACTTCCTTTTCCCCCCTTCAGTGCTTTTATTAGGTAGAACAAGTGTGTGAGTCCACTGTACTTCTTAAATAAAAAATGCCTAGCAAAGGAAAATTCAGTTCTTCCTAGAGGTAGGCCATTAATATTGGAAGGTAAACTCTAATCAGGTTGCTAGTGTTAGAGTAGCTATTATAATATGTCCCTGTGGAAATATTTATACAGAAACAATGTAGCATCTGGAATTTAATTCAAAATAAAACAAGGTGAGGTACATGATGTGTGGATGGGTTAAGGGTTTTTGAGGCTAGATGATGGATACATAGAGGTTCATACTACTGTGCCTGGTTTTTTATTCAAATTCTCCATTAAAAATGCTTTAAAAAAAAAAAGTAGACATGGTTGAACCTTGAAAACACTGTACTAGGTGAAAACCAGACACAAAAGGCCACATTTTATATGATTCTATTTATATGAAATGTCCAAAATAGGTAAATCCATAGAGATAGAAGTAGATTGGTGATTGCTAGGGGCTGCAGGAAGAACAGAGTAGGAAGTGACTACTAATAGCCATGGGATTTCTTTTTGGGGTGATGAAAATGTTCTTGAATTATATGGTGGTGTTGGTTGCGCAAATGTGTGACTATTCCACTGAATTATACATTTTAAACGGCTGAATTTTACAGTATGTAGATTATATCACCATAAAGGTAGATTAATACCAAAAAGTTAGTAAATGTCAAGGGTGGGCTACTGTCATCCTGGTGTGGTGGCAAACTCCTTTAGTGCTTTTTTGCCTGGGAAGCTTTTTATCCCATTCTGAACGATAGCCTTGCTGGGTAGAGTAATCTTGATTGTAGGTCCTTGCTTTTCATGACTTTGAATTTTTCAGGCCATTCTCCTCTGGCCTGCAAAGTTTCTGTTGAGAAATCAGCTGACAGTGTATGAGAGCCCCCTTGTACATAACTAACTGCTTTACTTTTAAGATTTTCCCATTGTCTTTAACCTTTGGCATTTTAATTATGATGTGTCTTGGTGTGGCCCTCTTTGGGTTCTTGTTTGGGGCTCTCTGCGCTTCCTGGATTTGTGTGTCTGTTTCCTTCTCCTAGGGAAGTTTTCCATCATTATTTCTACAATTAGGTTTTTAATCCCTTGCTCTCTCTCTCCTTCTAATACCCTTATGATGTGAATGTTGTCACACTTGATGTTGTCCCAGAGGCCCCTTACACTATTCTCAGTTTTTAAATTCTTTTTTGTTTCTGCTGTTCCGACTGGGTGTGTTCTGCTTCCTTATCTACCAGATCGCTGATGCAGTCCTCTGCTTCATCTAATCTCCATTGAGTCCCTCTAATATATTATTCATTTCATTTATTGCATTCTTCAGTACTGACTGCTTTTTAAAAAAATATATTCTATCTCCATTTTTGTTTTCTATCTCTTTGTTGCAGCTCTTGTTGAGTTAATTACTTCTTTCCCTCAGTTCATAGGGCATTTTTATAACCAGTGTTATGAAGTTTGCATTTGGTAAATTGCTTATCTCCATTTTGTTTAGTGCTTTTTCTAGTGTCTTATGGTGTTCTTTGATTTGGGACATATTTCTCTGTTTCCTCATTTCAGCTGTCCCCCTGTGTTTGTTTCTATACATTAAGTAGATCTGCTCTGTCTCCTAGTCTAGGCTGAGAGGCCTTATATAGTAGGTGTCCTGTGGGGCCCAGTGGTGCAGTCTCCTTGGTCACCTTAGCTGGGTGCTTCAAAGGTGTCCCTTTTGTGGGTTCTGTGAGCCCTCCTGTTGTAGTTGAGCCAGGATTGCTTTTGGTACATCATTTGGTGGCGTGTTGACCCTCAGGCTGATTTTCAGTGAGGAACGGCAGTGACTGTAGTGGAGGGGCTGTTGTATGGGGGCTGACCCCATGGTGTGGCATTCACTTCATGGGGCTCTGGTGCCTGTCAAGTCTGCCCTTTGTGTGTTGTTTGTCAAGCTGGTTGGGAGGTGCTCTGGTGTGGCCTGAAGTCAGCCACCAGGTGTATAGGTTCAGGGGCCTCTTGGGAGGGGCTCTGGAGTAGGCCATGGTCAGCTGCTGCCTGTGCCCTGGCCTGGAGTTGGCAGGAGTACAAAGTGCTTTGCAGATTGTTGCCGCCTGTCCTGGGCTTGGAGGCACCTGGCAGAGGCTAAGCTGTGAAGCCAAGCAGGTACCTACTAGTACTGGGCTTGGGTCAGCTTAGCAAGAGGTTCAGGGCACACTGAGGCCAGTTGCTGCTTGTTTTGGGTTTTTGGACCTTTGATTTTCAGAATGTTTCCAGCACTAGCCAAGACAGGTCATGTGCATGGAAAAGCCACTGGTAGAGATTCGGGCCAGGTATTCATATTGGGTGGGGCAGGGTGTCTGGGAATACCAGAGTGGGCTAATGATGTTAGCTAGGTTGTTGCCCACCTGGACCTGCTGGCTTTTGGGGGAAGAGGGCTCAACAAAGGGATATGGTGTCTGCCAGCACTCATGTTCCAGGTGTGAGCTGCTCAAAAACTAGTCAGTTCAGTTCCTCCCCATATGTCCCTGGCACTTTTTAAGCTGCTGCCCCAGCACTAGAGCTCAAGTGAGTCCATCAGTGAGTAAATCCATGTGCAGACTCTCTAAGACTTGCAGTGCCTAGGTCTCCAGCAGCCCTCTGTCTCAGTTACAATATCTGCAGTTTTTCACAACCAGAGGTTGTCAGGGATTCTCTTCCCATCACTGGAACCCTGGGCTTGGGAACTCTGTGGGGTTGGGACCCCTTGCTCCTCAGGGGGTGCTCTGTATCCTTGATATCCCTCCTATTTCTTAACCACCACACGTGGGTGTGAGACCAGCCTGTTTTCGCATCTCTGCCCCTCCTACCAGTCTTGACATGGCTTCTTTATATCCTTGGGTAAACAACTACTGTTCATCTAGTCTTCTGGTAGTTCTTAGTGATGCTTGTTTTATAATTTAGTTGTAATTTTGATGTGTTTGTGAGAGGAGGCAAGCACAGTTTTTAGCTACTCCACTGTCTTGACCTGAAGTTTCTTTAATAAAATTTTCACGCGCTAGCTGGTGTGGCTCAGTGGACTGAGGGCCAGCCTGGAACCAAAGGGTCGCTCGTTCGATTCCAGTCTAGGGCACATGCCTGGGTTGCTGGGCCAGGTCCCCAGTGAAAGGTGTGCAAGAGGCAACCACACAGTGATGTTTCTCTCTCTCCCTCCTTTCCCCTCTCACTAAAAATAAGTAAAATCTTTTAAAAAATAAAATAAAGTAAAATAAAATAAAAATTTCCCTATGTGAAAAATGAAAAAAAAAAAGAGAACAGATCCTTTGTTAAGAAGTTTGATTGTTCTGGACCTGGGGAATCCATAGAACTGTCTTACCTGGCCAACAAAGCCAATGATCCTTAGCATGCTGGCTTTATTTAGCCAAGGCCATACCTTTTTGTGCCTGTGGTATATTTTTGAGATCATCTATGACCTTTTGAGTTTGCTGTAATATTGCATAGATTTACTGCTTCCCTTACTGTTAGATTGGAGGAATTCTTAAAATGGGATGATTTGAAGCATACTTAACCTCACATTTTATAACTTGGGGTTTCATTCTTCTGTTTATACACCTCTGTCTTGCAGCATTATTTTTGTACCAGTCAAACTAAAATTTGCCCTTTTAGCTTTTTTACCTTTTGCATGAAATAATCTACTTTTTTTCTGAGCTACTTAATTTGATTATTATCAAATTGTCATGAGAGAGAACATATTTATTTTCACTTTTGTCTTAGAGGTCTGATGGCTAATATAAGAGTAGCCTACTGTTACAGATGGAATGTTTACATCCCTTCAAAATTCACATGTTGAAGTACTAACCCCTCATTTTGGCTATATTTGAGATGGGGTCTCTAAGAAAGTAATTAAGGCTAAAGGAGTTCATAAGAGTGGAACCCTGATCTTACAGGATTGCTGTCCTTATACAAAGAGATACTAGAGTGTGCCCTCTCCCCACAACCTGCCCTGTGAATACACTAAGAAAAGGCCATGTGAAGCCATAGTGAGAAGATGGCTGTGTGCTGGAACCTTTATTCTAGAATTCTAGTATCTAGAACTGTGAGAAAAAGAATATTTGTTGTGTAAGACAACTAGGCAGTGATATTTTGTTATGGCAGCTCTAGCAGACTAATATACTTACCTTTTATTACATTTACTTGGTCTTCTAGTACGTGCTCTTAGACATTGGCAGAGTTGTCGGTTTTCATATATTAACTTACTATCTGATATTAGTAGTTGTATCTATGCAACTGATTTCTTCCATTTTAAGCCAGGTCAAAGTTTTATAGTCAGAATAGACCAGATGTTCTTCATACTGCATTAGACTTGGGAAATCAATTTAGTGTGTTGCAGCCAGCTATTTTTTAAATGAACTGGATTGCCTATACTTTTGTGGAATTGTGTTTCTAGAATATGTGTTTGTCAGTGCAAGTGTGTGTGGTAGACTAAGATACAAGATGTATTTTTTTACTGTAAGTTGTAGCAGAAAACGATTTTAAATCTATTGCTGTAGTCTAAGCTAATCTTTTAGTCTCTCTCCG